TAATCTGGGCCACGGATCCAGAGGCTGGGTAATCTGGGCCATGGATCTGGTTCTGATGAATAGTCACCAAATTGTCACCATTAAATCCATTTATTGCCATAGCTGCTGCCTAACATACTGAGTATTTCAAGCATTTTCAATTTTTATTTCCAATTTCCAGCATCCAAAGTATTTTGCTTTAGAAGATAATACCAGGCCTGGGATGATTATTGTACAAAAAGCAACGAACAATGTTACTCTCAACGATTTGATCCCCATGTATCTGGACTAGTTTAGGGATGTAGCATATTGCAGTGTCTCAGAAATCAGGCTGTCTTGAGTATTATTGGTTAAACTGCACTTGTAGGGAGCCATAGAGGAAGGACAGACATTGACCATGGTTGTCTGGGACCTTACAGGGGTCTGACTAAATTGCCAGATTTACCAGAGTCTGGAATTCATCACGTCTGCATTTTTATAGACTGCCTGAAGTCCCAGCAGTGGCTACTGCTCGATTCTGACATTGCTGGGACATAGAGTTGTCACACAATTTCATTGGCCAGAAGTTGTCTTAGTTAGGATTCCCCACCACCCCACCCGAGATGGGACCAGTCTCTCCATCTGCTCCAATTAAGGCTGCACCCAGACAGCCTGGTATCTCGTCGGCATGGTGTCAACAGAACTTTCCCAGTTGGGGAGGGGTCTTAGTTATAATTTATCCCCCATAAAATCCAGTGCACTGAATCCAGATTTTGTGTTGGAAGCACAGCTGAGTTTTCTGTGGAGCTCCTTCTTCTTGTGGGATAGCAATAGGACCTCATCAAGTCAGTGTAGAATCTTTGGTTAACATCTTCAACAGCATTGATGACTACGATGTAAGCACTAATGACACTGGCTTTAGGTTATAGCTGAGTTGTAAGTGAAGGCACGTGAATCTTGCATTCATATAATTCTGGTAGGGCACCAGAGAGCCTGTTCAGGATAGATAACCAACTCCATGGACATGAGGATCACTGTCAATTTTCCTTTCTCGTAGAAGGTATCTCTCCTGTCTGTGAGAACTCCCTTGAATGGCAAGTCTCACTGAGATTACTGCCAACCCGACAGGTCATCACACGCCAGATGAGGTATCCAAAAACAAATGGTTATCACAGGCAAGGCAGGTTTTACTTTGTTAGGATTTGTATGATATCTTCTTTGGGACATAACTTGCATTTTCATGAAGAAGGTTTTGTTTGCCAACTGAGGATTGCTGTTGATGAAAAATCTTTCTTTTCTCAGAGAGCTGTGCCTGGGATGAGTTTCTGTGCGATGATGGCCGCTGTCTCTTCACCACCTTTAACTGCAACAACTTTTATGATTGTTTGGACAAGACTGATGAGCTGAACTGTGCTGATCACCAACATGGTAAGTGTCATCCTCCTTCAGTGCACAGGACTGGGAAAGTACCCAGCCTAGTGAAACCTGCACAGAGGAGCTATCCAAACATTGCTGTGAAACCCATCCCAATCACCAATCCCACTCTAAAACATTTGATCTTCCTGCTGAAAAATGGAGAACGATAAGGCACATTGTAAATGGGTGCTTATTCAAGAACATTGGGGCCATAATGTATAACCATGGAGATCACAGGTTATTCATGGTAAAGAATACTTGATGTGTAACTGTGAAAAGTCACAATTTATTCATGCAAGAGTCATTCATTGTGTGGCTGTACGGAGACACTGCTTATCCAGTGCAGAACATCCTCTGGTACTGGATGATGGTCACAAAAAAGACCTTTTTTGCTTCAGCACTGCACCCACTGAGAAACTTCTGATCCCCTCCATCACCATTGGCCATGTGCTCTTTTTACATGGTGGACATTCACATGAGGAGATAAGTGTAACTGTTGGGAGAAGCTTCACACTGGGAATGCAACACAGGAAACTACAAGGTTTCTGTTGTGGCAAAATGGCAAAGGCAGACTTGTCCAGGGTGGGAGAGTCCTGATCTTAAGGCAATTAGTGCAGAATAGCTGAACAACATAGATCAAAGATTGAAAGACTGTGCTAATGTAAAAGCACAGTGCCACTATTGATGTTACCAATTTCTTTAAAATAAATGAAGTTTTTCGATACTAAATGCCTGATGACCAGGTCCATTGCATCCATGAATTAACAATTTAATACCAGTGTCTCCAATGCTCTCTTTAGATTGCGGTGGGATTTTGACTGATCTGGAAGGATCTCTGGCCACTCCGAAACATCCTGAGCTGTATCCACACAGGCAAGTACGTAATCCTGGCACAGCTTAAATCATCATTGATAAAATCCTGTCCCCATTATCAATGTTTCATCTCCATGATTTCCAGACTACCTCAATAATTATCAGTTCCAGACTCCTTCAGTTGCTCTCAATTCCAGACCAATGTCCTTCTATCCACCTCTTTCTCTGGTCTTGTCCACTCCTCTCTTATGGTTGACCCAATGGCACCAAATGTAAAATAGCCACTCTTCAGCTAAAAGAAAGAAAGATTTCTAACTCAGGGTGTTTTGACTAGCTATAGTTTCTGACATAATGTCTGTAACAGACATTGTGAAAGATAAGAAGGCTTGCCTTTAGAGAACACCTTTCACAACCTGAGGATGTCCCAATGCACTTTATTCCCTATTGACCACTTTGGTGAATTGTAATCATTCTTTGAATGTAAGAAATATAACTGCTAATTTACAGACAGCAAGAGCCCACATACAGCAATAAGATGATGATCAATGATGAATTTTAAAATTTAAAGTTAGAAGTTAGGTATAGAAGGGACACTTAGAAAGAACAGATAGGGTTATACCAGTATATAATGTTAGTTAGGCCACAACTGGAGCACTGTGTGTATTTCTGCTCACCACAGTGTAGGAAGGATGGGATTGCACTAGACAGCATACAGAGGAGATTCACCAGGATGTTACTTGGGCTGGAGCAATTTAATAATGAAGAGAAACTGGATAGGCTGGGGTTGAGCAGAGAAGGCTGAGGGGGATCTGATCAAGGCGTACAAAGTTCTGAGGGTCATAGGTAGGATAGATAGAGAGAAACTTTTCTCCTTAATAGAGGGGTTAATAACCGGGGGCACAGATTTAAGGTAAGGAACAGAAAGTTTAGAGGGGACTTGAGGAAAAATCTTTTCATCCAGAGTGTAGTCGGCATCTGGAAGATGCTGCTTGAAAGCGTATTGGAGACAGGAACCCTCAAGTCATGAAAGAATTATTTAGATAAGGATTTGAAATGCCACAGCATACATGCCAAGTGCTGAAAAATGGGACCAGAGTAGATGGATGTTTGGTGATCAGCGTGTGTATGACATACTGAAGGGCCTAGTTCCACACTGTAAAAACTGTATGATTCTTAAGTCTATGGAGTGGGACCTGGATCTGTAACTTATGGATTCAGAATTGAGAGGGCTACCCATTGAACTTTTACTGGGATCCATTAGCTCATACACCATGTGGCAGCAAACATTGTAATTCTGAATGTGTCAAAGGTAAACATTTAATCCAGGTGCCAAGACCAATAGTAATATCTGATATTAACCAGCAGACCATGGACTGGGGACTGAATCTGCGTTCTTGTGGTCCGTGTATCTAAGTTACAAATTGCCTTTAAAAACTGAGGATCAGGGGAGTAAGCAGGAGGTGTTATGCACAGACAAATACTGTCAGCAGAATGAAACATATAACATGGGTTATGCCAATAAGAGAAACTCCATGTGTTCATGTGCATTTGATTAAAGCATATTGTTTAGTCTGGTGTATGTGAGTCTGTGGTCAGGATAGTGATTCTATTTTAAGTAAATTCTGATATATGACCAGCTAGGCTGTTAAAAACAGTATTTTGGTTCACTTCAATATTGTGACTGTCGGTCTGGATGTTTCTCTCCATTTATGTATATTACCCGACAGCCCAGTAATTTCCCACCTCAATTTTCACTCATTCTTTTCCAAAAACACTGTCTCTTCTCAAGGCATCATTCTAAGAGTACATAATGTCCTTTACTACTGGAACTTTGTTCGCCTAGATTGTAGGCTTGGCAGACTATTCAACCACAGGAGGAATGACTACCTACTCTCCCATCTCATCTTCATCTGGTGTTCATAAACAGCCATTTTCCATTGGGCAGGCTGGATGTCAGTGAGAAATCAAAATTTGACTGTTTCTGTCTTCACCGTCCCAGAGGTACAAAGATCAATTGTATTGCGCTAATCAAGATCAATTATATAGTTATTTCAGCAAAGAACGGGTTACATTTTGGGAGTTTCTGACTTATAGAGTCATATAGCACAGAAAGAGACCCTTTAGTCCAACTCATCCATACCAACCAGGTTTCCCAAGCTAAACTAGTCCCACTTGCCTGCATTTTCTCCATGTTCTTTCAAACTCAGGTACTTATCCAAATGTCTTTTAAATGTTGTAACTGTACCTGCATCTACCATTTCCTCTGGCAGTTCATTCCACATACAGACCACCCTCTGATTGAAAACATTGCCCCTCAGATCCCTTTTAAATCTTTCTCCTTTCACGTTATAAATATGCCCCCTAGTTTTGAACTACCCCCACCCTGGAGAAAAGACCTTTGCTATTCATGTTATCTATGTCCCTCAAGATTTTATAAACTTCTGTAAGGTCACCCCTCAACCTCCTACGCTCCAGTAAAATACAGTCCCAGGCTATCCAGCCTCTCTGTATAGCTCAAACCCTCCATTCCCAACAACATCCTGGTAAATCTTTTCTGAACCCTCTCCAATTTACTAGTATGCTTCCTATAGCAGGGCGACCAGAACTATACACAGTTCTCCAGAAGTGGCCTCACCAACAAGCTGTAGGACCTCAAATGACATCCTAACTCCTATACTCAAAGGTCCTGAGCAATGAAAGAAAGTATGCTAAATGCCTTCTTAACCACCTTGTCTACCTGTGATGTAACTTCCAAAGAACTATGTTTCCTGAACCGTTAGGTCTCTCTGTTCAATAACACTACTCAGGGCCCTACCATTAACTGTATAAATCCTGCCCTGGTTTGTTTTACCTAAATGCAATACCTTGCGCTTATTCAAATTAAACTTCATCTGCCACTCCTCAGCCCATTGGCCCAATTGATCAAGGTTCCTTTGTACTCTTCGATAACCTTCTTCACTGTCACCTATATCACCAATTTTAATGTCATCTGCAAACTTACTAACCATGCCTCCTGAATTGTCATCCAAATTGTTCATATAAATGTCAAATAACAGTGGACCCAGCACTGATCCTTGCAGAACACTGCTAGTCACAGGCCTCCAATCCAAAAAACAACTTTCCACCACCACTCTCTGTCTCCTAACCCTCAAGCCAATTTGGTAATCAATTGGCAAGTTCTCCTTAAATCCCACATGATCTAACTTTACTAATCAGTCTACTATGGGGAACGTTGTCAAATGCTTTACTAAATTCCATGTAGACGATGTCTGCCACTCTGTTGTCATCAATCTTTTTGGTTACATCCTCAAAAAAAACTCAAACAACTTTCTGAGACACAATTTCCCTCACACAAAACCATGCTGACTATCCCTAATCAGCCTTTGTCTTTCCAAATGCATGTAAATCCTATCTCTCACAATCCCCTCCAACAACTTACCTACCATTGATGTCAGACTCAGCAGTCTATAATTCCCAGGGTTTTCCTTACAGCCTTTCTTAAATAAAGGCGCAGCATTATCTGACTGTGGTCTCATTTCCACACACCCGTCAACCACTGATATCCTTTGAGTCCCTTGTTAATGAATAATCTATCTACTTCTGCCTTAGAAGTATTAAATGATCACCATTGCTCTTTGGTGAAGAATAGCATGGTGGCTCAGTGATTAGCACTGCTGCCTCACAGCGCCAGGGACCTGGGTTTGATTGTATGCTTGGGCAACTGTGCGGAGTTTGCGCATTCTCCCCATGTGCATGTGGTTTTCATCCGGGTGCTCCAGCTTCCACCCACAGTCAAAAGATAAGCAGGTTAGGGTGGATTGGCAATGCTAAAGTGCCAGTAGAATCCAGGGCTATATAGACTAGATGGATTGACTGTGGGAAATGCAGAGTTACAGGGATGGGGGTGTGGGTCTGGGTGTGATGTTGTTCATAGGGTCGGTGTAAACTCGATGGGCCGAATGGCCCGCTTCCACATTGTAAGGTTTCTATGAAGAGACTTCCAAATATTCATGATCATCAAAGAGAAATAAAAACCTCCTCACCTCAGACTTAAATACAAAAACCACTCCAGAAATGACTTTCTATTCTTTCGATTGATGTCAGCATCTCTATTAAGGCCAGAACTTATTGCCCAATCCAATTGACGCTTGATATGGTGCTAGTGAGCCACCTTCTTCACCTGCTGTAGTTGCTATGGTGTATGTACAGTAACAGTGCTGTGTGCAAGTGAGTTCCAGGATTTTCATCCCATGCTAGTGAAGGAACTGTGATATAGTTCAAAGTTAGAACAGTATGCATAGCTAAGATTGGAACTTGCAGGTGGTGGTGTGAACATAAAAATGTTTTTAAAAATTGGTATGTGTTGTTATAATGCCCACTTGAACCATCTGAGATGCTTTGGGTGGGTTCACTGGCAGCAATCCTTCTTATTGGTAATAGTCTAAGTTACTGCTACCAAGTGGGGAAGTTTGTACCCACAACTTCTTTCACAGAGGACAGGCTCGGTCTTGTTGAACAGGGTAGGTTTATTACATAGTACTTCATAGTTTGTAATATTACATCTGAGTTACATGATCCCTTGTGAGGTACTAGGTTAGAATTAAGAGTAAGTACTGCTCCAAAGAGACTTTATATTTAATGCAGCTTGCAGGACTTATGTTTTGAAGTAAAGTGGAAAAGGAATTTATTTCAAGTTGTGTGGGCACATCTGGAGTAGTTTATTTTAACGTGTTAATTGAAAGTTCACATCGGAGAATTTTTAACAAATCTTCCTAAAAATCATATGACTGGTGATCATTGCTTGCTCTACTGTAGCCCCTGCTGAGGTGGTTTTGAATAGTGTGGTTTGAAGAAGTTCCTTATCCCCCTCTACCAACACAGACTCCTCCCCCACTCCCCCACTAACTGGTTCAATTGGAGGAATGTCAAAAAGGCATATGGCATGCTTGCCTTCATAGGTCAGATGTAGCATAAAAAATATTGACAAGTTACGTTGCAGCTGTATATTATTTTAGTTCAGCCAAAATTTCAATATTGTATTCAGTTCTGATCACCACACTACCC